CAGCGGCAACTTGGAGGTCAGCAGCAGGGCGGACCTTTCATGGGCCGTGATTTTATGGGTCAAGGTGCGCCGCCTATGTCCCAAGTATTGAAGCAGCAGGCTTGGGTGGACTCTCAAACAAGGCACCATGATTCCACACGGTTAAAACTGGCTGACAATGAAGGACAATCAGACACATTCAGACACAATCATTTGTTTAGGCTAGGCAGCGGCCCTTAGGTGGATGACGAAGTGAAACGTATTGTTGACGAACAGTACCAGCGCGGCATGAAGCTCTTGAGAGACAACATGTTTTTGCTGGATGAGTTGGCGAAGCTACTCATGGAGCAGGAGAAGGTCAGTGGTGAAGAGCTTGTGAAGCTTATCAACAGAGCTGCGATTGATGGGAAGTTGGCGGTGGACAACAAGCAGATGGCCTTTGCCGCCTTCATGGGTGAGAAAGTGGACAACACTTCAACAGGTTCAAAGCTCACCAGCAGCTCGGACTTCACAGAAACAAATCACGACGCCGATCGAAGGAGCATCAGCGAAACAAAAGGTGACAAGACATCAAGTCTGACAAACGGGCCTTGCCATCAAAGCGGACACTTCAGCCTGCCGGCTCTACCTAAAGTCCAAAGACGATTAGCATCGACCCCCAACCCCCGCCCAGTATTTTTGTGCTCTGTGAGCTCTCTGCATCACGGCCAGGCAAGTGCCTTCCATCTATGACGTCTATGACCTCCTTGACTTCAATGCCCAAGGGCTTCTGTGGCTCGACCCTCCGTCCCCGCCATGACCGTGCTACTGCACGCAACGCGATTGCCCGACTAGGGCTGGCGGGCGATGAGAAGGCTGTGACCAGTGAGAAGGTTCTCCAGGAAGTTCAGCGAATGGCAGCTGAGCCTTGGACTTCTGCAGTGACCTCATGTCTGACCTCCTATTCTTGTGACACTGAAGACCTTGTGTCAGGACAAGTCACAAGACCTCGTCCTATTCTTTTTCAATTGATAGTGGCACGAGCTCTTGTGACTCTTGCGGATGCTTAGACGTCGTGTTACCTGAGGATGTCTCCAATGGCTCCGCTTTGCCAAGCCAGGTAGTCCGAACCGCAGCTGTGCAGACCTTGGTGTCTTTAGCTGCTATGGCAGGTCCATCTGCCGCAGTTGCTGATGACGTGGCAGTGCCACAGAGCGTTCCGCAGCCCATGACTCAGATGCAAGCTACTGGCCGTGTCACCTATTCTCGCTTCTTAGAATTCATCGAGGAGCAGGGTTGCAGGGCCAGTCAGCAAAATTATTTTGACATATTTTGACAATTTGTCCTTGGATTGACTGATGCAGTGAACCGCTTTCCTTTGCTGCAACAAGTAACTAGCATTAACTAACTATGAATATTATGAATTTAGGAGAGCTTGAACATGCTTGAATGCGGAGACCTAGCTTGCTTGAGCTATCAGACAAGGATCACAAGTAACTGCTTGAGGACGGCGCGGTGAAGCGTGTCGACATGTATGACATGGGCCGGACTGCTGTTGCTTCCGTGACCATTGCCGGTCGTGAACAGCAGCTGATTTGTGATTTGCCTGGTGCCAGCACGGGGGTCATCGACAAGCTGGTGGCAAAGAACGTGGCCATTGATGTGCACCAACCGGAAACTTGGATGATGAACTATCGACGACATCGAGGACCATCGAAGTACGACATCAAAAGATCGACACCTAGGAGTTGCCAAAGAGAGCCCAGGTTCGAGCGTTTTTTGCAGGACGTTTGCTCGACACATTGTGACACTTGAAATGACACTTATAATATAATATATATATTTCTAATTCATTTCAAGTTGACACCAAACGAACATTTTTTCAACACCTCGGTCATGTATTTATATAGCGTATAGTATATAGATGTATATAGTATATAGTAGGGCCTGGCACTGGACCTAGTGATGCCTGGTGACAGCAAAAGACTGATCGGCGTAAACCCAGCGGAAGCACTTCATGTGCCCTGCATGGCACGTAAGCTGAAATGCGAGCTGCGTACGCGGAGCGGAACCAGTTGCCTAAGCACCTCCTTACGAAGCTTCACTCCAAAAAAGGGCCTTGAAGAATGCTCAAATGCCCTCAAAGGCGATTTTGCATACTAGCAACAAGAAGCTACCAGCACCAAAGGGCATCGCTACTAGCAGCAAGGACGCTACTAGTATACTAGTAGCTCCTGGTCTTACTACTCGTAGCAAGAAGCTACTGATTTGTCCTTCGCAGCAAGGACAAACCCAATCCACTCTTCGGCGCCTTGGCTGATGCGGCGTTCCCTTTGCTGACCATCGCTGGTTTGCTCTTTTTGCGATCGCAGAGCCCTGGTACTGGTGGCATCCCAGGGCTTGGCAATCAGGGCAAGGCAGGATCTTGTCGGTTGTCATTGGTTTGTTAGACTTCCAACTCCTTGTGCACCTTTTGTGCACTTGTTGTACCGTACTTGCCAATCACAACGATTTCCGCTGTGAGGCACAAATCATGATTTCCCCAGACACCGGTGTGAAGTTTGAGAACGTGGCCGGAATCGATGAGGCAAAGGAGGAGATTCGACCCAGTATTGAAACATGTCTATCCCCCCTCTCCTTTCCAGTGTTCAAGAACTTCGAAAGAAGCAAGTTCTGTGGAAACAAGAGTGGACAGGATGCCCAAGTTCTACAGGAATTATTTTTGATTACTTTTGTATATTGTGTACATATATATATATATAGACTATAGATATTGATAGTTGGGGAAGTGAGAAAGACTGATGTTGTTTCAGGAGCTTACGGAGATTGTCGATTTCCTGAAGGCTCCCGAGCGCTTTGTGAAGGTCGGAGCCAAGATCCCACGTGGCGTCCTGCTCACTGGGCCGCCGGGCACCGGGAAGACGCTCATGGCCAAAGCTTTGGCAGGTCGCATGACGACGAGGGGATGATTTTGAGTAGGAACCGTTTTGTGTTCTGCTGGTGATCCGTCAATTTGTTCGTGCATGCAACTAATTCTTACACGTCAAAACAAGCTTTCTTGGATGCCTCTCTTAGTCACTTCTTGCCCGACCACCAAGAGCGAAGGTGAGGCTGGTGTGCCCTTCATCCAATCCTCCGCCTCGGAATTCATTGAGCTGTTTGTGGGTGTTGGGGCCTCTCGCGTGCGCGACATCTTCAAACAGGCCAAGGAGCCCGGGCATGAGGGCCAGACATTATGACAAGGGGACCAATTTGGAAGACTCCCCTGGGACAAACAGGCCTTCGAGTCTTGAATGTTTTGACCAGAGTGGCCCTGTCGCCCTCTGAATGCTGGAACTCTTTCTTTGCTGCCCAGTAATTATCGCAACACTTTGTCATTTGCAAGAGCTGAGAGGAGAAGGCTCCCTGCATCGTTTTCATCGATGAGATTGATGCCATTGGCCGACAGCGCGGTGCTGGCATGGGGGGTGGAAATGATGAGCGGGAGCAGACATTGAATCAAATCCTGACTGAAACTGTTCAGAGCTAAACAGACTATTCATTTGTTTTTGCATGTCCGTCTTCTCCTTGGTATATAGATCTTACTAACCTCGGAGTTGACTTTGTTGCAAGAAGCGCCGCAAACGCTGTATAAAGCCTAAGTGATTTCAAAGCTGGAGTACACAGCGTCGAGTTGAGCTGTAAGACGGAGAAACTGAGCTGCAAGCTAAGGAGATGGATGGCTTCGAGGGCAACAGCGGTGTCATTGTTGTTGCGGCAACCAACCGCTCTGACATCTTGGACAATGCCTTGCTTCGGCCCGGACGCTTTGATCGCCGTGTCACTGTTGGATTGCCAGATGTGAAGGGCCGAGAGCAAATCTTGGACGTGCACATCCGAAATAAGAAGCTGGCCGAGGCTGGGAATGGACCCCAAAAATCAGCTTCACCAGCCTTCCCTTGGCTTACGACAAGGGAAACATGAGACCACTTGACTAAGAATAAGCAAAATGAGACCGCAAACTGCATGAGATCACATCACATACACATGCAATTCAGCGTACAAATTCCGCCTTCTTCTCTTGAAGCTGGTTATTCCAGCTCTAGCTGGCTGCAGGGAATCACATTGAAGGATATTGCCAAGAGAACTGCTGGCTTCAGCGGTGCCGATTTGGAAAACTTGATGAACGAATCCGCCATCCTGGCAGCTCGACGCAACAAGAGCGCAGTCACCATGGACGAGATCAACGATGCCACAGATCGCGTCATTGCTGGCCTCGAAGGGCGTCCCTTGAACAACAACGCCTCGAAGAAACTGATTGCATACCATGAAGCAGGCGACGAGCTGTTTCAGCCGTTGTGTGTCCACGCTAGACTGCTCGACATGCAAGAGGGGACCGATCACAACCCATACTCCGAAGAGAAGACCAAGAGAATCCAACAAGGGTCTATTGACAAATCAAGCGACACCAACACGTTTTGTCCATTTGAAGTCCTTTTTCGTTGTGAGGTCATGCCATCGTCGGATCTTTGCTGCCTCATCATGACCCGGTCAACAAGGTGACTGTCATTCCCCGTGGTCAAGCAAAAGGCCTCACTTGGTTTACACCTGGAGAGGATCAGAGCCTCATCTCTGCAGCCATGCTGAAGGCGGATTCAGCATGATTCAGCACAGTTTTGGCATGTTTGGGTTTCTAGCCTTCCAGCAAGACAATCCCAATCGATCTTGCTAGTTGTGCCAGGCCCGGATTGCTGGAGCTTTGGGTGGCCGTGTGGCGGAGCAGTTGGTCTTCGGCAGCTCCCAGGTGACCACTGGTGCTGGGGGAGATTTGCAGCAGGTGGAGCGCATGGCTCGGGCCATGGTCACCCAGTTTGGCATGTCCGATGCTTGATTTTAAGCTCTGTTGGTGTGGGGAAATGGAGACACCGGAGCCAGCCCTTAGAGTTCCCCAAACTTGAGCCTTCTGAACGTATTCCTTTGCAAATCACATCAACGAGATTCAACTTGTCTATCACGCTATGACATGAGTAGGTTGATTTGAGGCCCTTGGAGTTCCTAGAGACCCTAGCTCCTAGCTGATCATACTGATCCAAGATTATCTAAGGACGTGGGTTCGATTGCCATCGATGATGGAGGCTTTGGCGGGCCCAACTATTCGGAGGACTTGAACTCAAAGATTGATAGCGCCTCGCCAAGCTCATTTGCAGGCTATCACTCCATGATGGCAAAGATGCCGAAATCTGCCACCGCTCTCGTGCTTGGTGTTTTCGATTGTTCTGCTTGTTTTTTTGGTCATGGGAAGTTGAGCTGATTCCTTGGTGTTCCTCGAAGCTGCAAGGTGCCATCAAGAACATCTCGGACGAGTGCTTCCAAACAGCGTGGAATCTGCTCGAGACACACCGAGATTGCTTGGACAAGGTGGCCGAGGAGCTTTGTGAGATGGAAACCATCACCGGCGACAGGCTCCGAGAGATCATTGCCCAATACACTGAGGTACCAGAGAAGATGGCTGTGGTTTGAGGTTCCAGCTGTATAATGAGATGCTTTTGAATAAGTTGCAGTTCCGTTAGGTCACACAGAACCGTCGAATTCTTTGCATACCATGCATGCGTTTAGAGACACAACTCCGCTGTACAGAGAGCTTGATTGCTGCATCACATGTTCAGTCTTGATGCAAGAGTATCATGCTCGCTTTGGTTTCTCAGCTGGATTGACACGGGTCACATCCCAAAGCTGATCCAATCTTCGTGCACCGTCAATGCCTGAATGAACCTCAGTCTTGAGTCTGGAAACATGGAAAGCACGTTTTTGCGCTCCCAATAGGTATTGACCACGTGCACCTCATTCTCAAGTCAGTTGAGCCAGACCGTGTACAAAGAACGGCTCCTGAATTTCGCCCGCCAAAACATAAGACCTGATTCGATCACTTCTTGCCATGTTGCCCCAATCATATCCAATTGTCGGATATGAATTGGAATTGTGGTGCTTCTGAGACCTGTAGCTGTACATGAAGCCTTTTGTGAGCTCTTTGGGGGGGCTGTCATGATCAATCATTAGATAAATATGGAGGGGTATTTTTTCTGGGATTTTTTTTCATTTTTTTTCGGGAATT